CAAAGTGTCCGTGCTAAATGAAGTGAGCTGTAAGTGCCTGATACTTAGCTAGTAATCCATCATCATGTGGAATGTTGGTGTAAAGAGCTTCTACATCCGTGGTGGCCAGGATGGCATTTTCAGGAAGATTACTGTTGTTCTGTACTTTCCTCAGGTAGTCAGTGGTGTCTCAAAGGTAGCTAGGAATGCTGGTAGCATCGGGTCTGAGGAGAGAGTCAACACAAGCAGATAATCCGGCTGTAAGTGTGCCAATGCTTGAGATGATGGGATGTCTGGGATTTCCAGTTCTGTGGATCTTGAGTAGCAGATAGAAAACTCCTGGTTGGGAATTTGGAGGTCTGTTAGTATAGATTTAGCCCCGAGTAGTAGTAGGGAGTTTCATGAGCAGATGATCTACTTATTTTTGGTATTCTTTAGTGGGATCAGAGGGAAGAAGCCTGAAAAATCTGGTGTCGGTGAGTTGTCTGGCAGCCTCCTGTTCATAATCTGTTTATTTATAATGACTATTGCGCCCCCTTGTCAGCCTGACAGACAACTCACCAACACCAGATTCTATTGGCTTCTTTCCTGTGAGCCCACTAAGGAATACCACCCCCACGCCACCAAAACAAAAACAAAAACAAAAACTAGAGTATCTGCTCATGAAACTCCTGCTACTACTTGGGACTAAAACACACTGAGCTGCTCAAGTAAGGCTATCATAAGAAGGGCAGTCAGCCCAGGAGACACTGTGCATGAAGTCTAGCCCTAATACCTGAGCCAACACCAAAGGTTTCAAGTCAGATGATGGTGATGTGTTTTGAGCACAGCCATCTGTGGCCTACACAGTGGACACTGTCCTGCAGAGCCATGGACATCCCGGGGGACCTCAGTACCCCCATGTCCCAGGGACAAGCAGGTTAGAAGGTGCTGGGCAGGCCAGGAGTCTGCAGGCAGGAAAGGGGAATGGGGTGACTTGGCTTTGTCCCACAGTGGCAGTGTCCCGCAGGGAGAAAACTCCTGTCCCTACCCACTGGAGTAGGGGAGTATGTTGCAGTAGGTGTGTGTGAGTGGCAGAGTCCGCTTTCTGGAGAGAGTGCTACTGGGGTCCCCACCTCTTCCCATGCAGGGGGTCAGTGTCTTCTGCCTTACCATGCTTGACCAGGAGTGGATTCTGCCCCAAGCGTGCAGGCATCACCGTGTGCAGCACTGATGTGTGTTTCCATGACCCCACCCTCCTTACTGGTGGCATGTCATGGGAAGGTGTCACACCACAGAGTCTGGAATAAGGCAGGCCTGTCCAGGAACCTTGTGAGAAGGATCAATGGGTTCCTGTGTGGCAGCCTTATGAGGCTGTGTGCTCTGGATTGGCACTCCATGTGCACCCACGTGCACAGGCTGTTGTGCGATCCCCAGGCTGAGAAGGCCAAGTGAGGAACATGCAGTCCCTTGAAGCCCACTGCTTGTCCCTGTGTGTAAATAGGGAAAGTAATGGAACTCATCTGAACTGCCTGCTCCGGCCTCATGAGAGCCCTGGGAGGGCGGCACTAGCTCCAGTGTGATGACCACATCCTGGCTGGTGGGCATCATGTCCCAATGGCCTGCTACTCTTCTTCATTCTCCTTCACCTCCTCATCCTGGTCCACAGCCCCACCCTCCTGGAGGATGAAGATGGGCATGTCCAGGCCGGAGTCCACAAGAAGGTGGGGAAGGGTCCGACCTCCCCTCCAGGATGCTATCCAGTTTCTGGTAAGAGTGGCAGGTCTGGGGTGCTGCTCCAAGATTGGGAAGTTAGTTCCCTGGCCATGGTGTAGGCCTGGCACTGTTCTTTTTTCATCTGCACCTGTTCCTGAGTGTGTGTGTGGCCCTTCTGGGCTAGGCTTGCAGTCATCTGGCTGTAGGCATCTGCAATGCAATGCCTTGTGCAGAGATCCTGGAGATTTGACTCCTCATCCCAGAGCTCTATGAGATCAAGGATGTCCACATCAGTGCACCATGGGGCCCACTTCTGCGGTGGTTGCCAGCATGCTTACAGCCATAGGTTGCTTGGAAGGAGCGCTGGGCTCTGTCACGGCAGCAGGGAAGGCTGTGCAGGGTCCTCCTGTGTGGCATGATGTGAGCAGGGCCTATGTTGTGCCACAAGCCCTTTCCCTTCTGCTCCACTTTTAAAGGCTGCAGGGGAAGGCAAATTATAGAATTTTGAGGGGTGTGAACAGAGTGGCTAGCAGGGCAGCTGTGAGAAGTCCTGGAGGCCAATTATTTTGAAATAAGCACAGCTGTGCTGTCCACACTCACCCTATTTCAAAATAGCTATTTTGAAATAGGTGTTATTCTTTGTGAAATGAGAGTTCATTATTTTGGAATAAGAAGCCTGTTATTTCGAAATACAGGCAGTCCCCGGGTTACATGGATCTGACTTACATCGGATCCCTACTTACAAACGGGGTGAGGCAACCCTGCACTAGCTGCTTCCCCCCAGCAGACCAGGGAGATGCAAAGCTAGCGCCCCCCCCAGCAGACCAGGGAGACGCGGAGCGGCTTTTCTCAGCAGACACCTCAGCTTGAGAATAAAGGACTGAAGGAAGTGAGGTGTGGGAGAATAAAACTGAGCTCTGGAGAAATGTTTGGCTAGAGTTTCCCCTACAATATGTATCAGTTCCGACTTACATAGAAATTCAACTTAAGAACAAACCTACAGTCCCTATCTTGTACGTAACCCGGGGACTGCCTGTAATTTCAAAATAATGGGCTTGCTGTGTGGACGCTCAACTTGTTATTTCAAAATAATGAGAGTTATTTCGAAATAATTCTATAGTGTAGACATGCCCTATGGTGCTACAGGACCATTGGATTTTTAGGGGTTTTTTTTGTTACAGACTTACATGGCTACTCCTCTAAGACATTTAAGTGGAGTTAAGATTTTAGTAAGAATCAAAAAGGAGTATAAATTTATATAGCAAGAATAATCAGTTAAAATGGCTAGGATAACTATTTTTTTAAAAAAAGAAAGCATGTAAACCCTCATTTTCCAGAATAAGTTAATCAGAAAGTATCTAAGATTAGGCAGAAACTACTTCTACAAGCAGTTTATTTGCATTTGCTCATTAAGGGGTTTCTTGTAGCTTCATCTGCTGTGTCAGACTGAACAAGATAGACTACTAATCTGATCCACTACGGCAAATCCTATGCTCCTTTCAGATAAAGCAGCATTTATTTCCCGAGGTAACTTTTTTTTCCACCATTAAAGAGTCTTCTTTCTACTTACATTTTGTGGTAGGCATTTCACACACTTTTTTGGGGGGGAAGGAAGTGGA